CCGTCGAGCAACTACTTTCTAATAGACCGACGGTCGACGAACCTCGGCTAACTTCACGCTCTGAGTCGATGTCTCACCCAACCAGGAGGGCGCAAACGTCGAAAGGAGTGTAACTACGGCGTACTTCGGCGTAGTTACTCTAACTAGGGTGTTGTTCTACTGATGGCGATGTATCTCGATTTATAGCTATCTCTATCTGTCTTTTACTACTGACAACAATCAAGGATCGCTGAAGAACTTCAGCGATCTTCTCAGCTAATATGACCTATCCCTCCTAGACGTTCATCCAACCCTCCCGCGCTTTGACGTACTTCAACGCACTTCGTCCAACTTCCCGAACCCCGGCCATCCTCCTCCTCCTTCGACTAAGTCCGCCTAATATCGCCGCACTTCTGCTCCCATTGTCCCTACCTAGCCTAACTCCGCCTAACTTCGCCGCACTTCTGCTCCCATTGTCCCTATCTACCCTAACTTCATCTAACTTCGCCGTACTTGGTCTCAGAGGTCCTGAGTTACGTGTAGAGTAAAAAGGTTTGAGTCGTGATGGGGTTTTGATGGTCAAAGGAGGGTCGTTGTTGGTGGAATAATCGAGGTGTCACGACGTAGTTGGGTGACAATGAGGAAGGAAGGGGAGAAGTCTAGATGGAAGAGACAAGTAGAGAGGGAGTTCCCCATCCCAACCCCACCGAGTGCGGCGAAGTTAGCGGCCATAGGGCTGCCAACTCCGACGGACGCGATAGATCTCCGAGACAAAGATGACCAGGATGAACTGAGTCCGGAGGAACAGGAGGAATTGTATCAGGTGGTTCCTGAACAATATCATCCGTTCATTGATGTGTTTAACCCGAGGAAGGGAGGTGAAGAACTACCTCCCTCAAGGGAATATGATCTGGAATTTGAGCTTAAGGAGGGGGCGAACCTGAAGGTTGCTCCACTCTACTCCCTCGGAGAAGATCAGAGAAGTGCGCTGAGAGACATCCTAGATCGCGAAATATCGGCCGGAAGAATCCGACCCAGTAATTCGCCCTACGGATCACCGATGTTCTTGGTACCGAAGAAAGCAAAGGGTCAATGGCGAATGGTCATTGACTACCGAAAGTTAAACGAGGCAACGATACCCGATGCCTATCCACTGCCTCTGATCGGTCAGATAACCGAAGAGCTAGGAAAAGCGAGGTACTTCAGCAAGTTAGATCTGATTGGAGCTTATCAACTCCTACGGGTAAAGGAAGGACACGAGCACCTGACGGCGTTCAGGACTCAGTACGGTATGTTCGAGTCTCTTGTTGTTCGAGATGGTCTGCGAAATGCTCCTGCTGTATTCCAGCATTTTCTGAATGAAAGCTTCAGAGAACTGTTGGGGAAGGGAGTGGTTGTCTACATAGATGATATACTCATCTATGGTCAGACGTTGGAAGAATTGAGAGGAACTACGGCGAAGGTGTTCGAAGTTCTTCGAAGGTCGAATCTGTTCGTCAAGGCTAGTAAGTGCGAGTTTGAAAAGGATTCGGTAGTCTTCTTGGGTTTTGTGGTCTCACGGGAGGGAGTTTCTAGTAATCCAGAGTACATCGACGCTGTTGTGTCTTTTCCCCGTCCCAAGAACCTAAGAGAGAGCAGAGGATTTATGGGAGTCGTTAGTTATTATCGGCGCTTTGTCCCCAACTTCTCCAGGATTGCTAAACCGATCAATGATCTCACAAGAAAGGATGTACCGTTTGTCTGGGGTATGGAGCAGGAAAGAGCTTTTAAAGAGTTGAAGGATAGAATGTGTAGGGCCCCGGTGTCACGGCCGTCGAACAACTATTTCTTAATAGACCGACGGTCGACGAACCTCGGCTAACTTCACGCTCTGAGTCGATGTCTCACCCAACCAGGAGGGCGCAGACGTCGAAAGGGGTGTAACTACGGCGTACTTCGGCGTAGTTACTCTAACTAGGGTTTTGTTCTACTGATGGCGATGTATCTTGATTTATAGCTATCTCTATCTGTCTTTCACTACTGACAACAATCAAGGATCGCTGAAGAACTTCAGCGATCTTCTCAGCTAATATTATCTACTCCTCCTAGACGTTCATCCAACCCTCTCGCGCTTTGACGTACTTCAACGCACTTCGTCCAACTTCCCCGAGCCCTCGGCCATCCTCTTCCTCCTTCGACTAACTCCGCCT